GACCAATTTAGAAGCATTCTTAGATTGATTATTATCATTCTGAGGTTTAAATTTACTTATTGGAGCCGCTTTAGTCTTGATTTGATTATTATTGTTATTATTTAAGTGATGATTACAATCTTTTCCTTCACTGTCTCGATTTTCGCCGTTAATGGAACATTTCTTTTCAAGTTTTTTTACCGTAGCCCGTAAACGTATTACCTCCGTATGCATATCGATTAACTCTTGAGTCTGTAAGACATTTTGTTCCTTCGATTTGGCCAATTCAGAATGTAACGACTATATGTGAAGAACAAAATTCAGGGAGAAATATGCATCACAATCAATTTAATTAATTTAACAGTCTAATCGAGAGAATTAAATTTTGTTCACTTTTTTTATAATGCCTTCTGTTGCCTTCAACTGATATACTTACCACCGTCTCTTTCAATAAATGAACATTTTCATTCATGACTTTAATAAATTTCTTTTTCAATACGTCTATTTTCTCTCCATTTTCTAATTTACATTCAACCAAGAAGTAAACATGGTTTCGGTGATACAAGTTATTAGACGAGTAGATTAAATACTTTCTTATTCAGTTTAATCTTAGCCATGCACACATAGTTATTTGTAGACTAACCCGAAAATGGAAGTAATAATTTGATAAACTTCTATAAATACTACCATATCGAAAGAGTAAGTAGTACTTACGGTCATCTATGGCGTTAAGACTTAGGTCTCCATCACTACAAATAGAACTATTGTCCTCACTGCCATGTCCAGACTGGTGATCTTTTAGATGGAACAGTGATGGCATTGATAGTCGTTTGAAATTACTTTTAGATAGTCCTTTCTATAAGAATGTCGAGATTAAAAACAGTGATATCATCAAATTAGATTTTAAGTTCTGGATTAAATAAATTCTTAATAATCAAGAAGATGGATATTAGTTAAAATAAGATTTGAAGTATAGAGTGAAATGTTACCATCAAGATTTGAGGAAGAACTAGGTATCTACCTATCTGCGGATCATATAGTATTAAATGGCTATTATTATAGTAATAACTGAATGATTGTGGTAGTAAACGATAAAATTGAATGCTATAAATTGAAGGCGATACCAAAAAGAGATTTGGCCACATTATACTTACTAATTTGTGGTTCTACTTTAATCATTTAGGAACTACCGTAATGAACAAATTTGGATAACTGTAATACTGAACTATTTGCATCTTTGAGGATCAATTTCCTGTTCATGTATTCCATTTAACAGATTAAATTCGCGGCCACAAGCCGATTTTAAGTAGTCGAATATAAAAAATTTATTGATTGTTTATCGTGAGTTTGCTTTAGCATAAAATTACCAACTCTCGATGAGACACATTAATGTTATTAATGGATTTGGATGGTGATATGGATTGCCTGTTAATAGTATAAAAAGTATATAAGAATGAGTTTAATAATGTCGAAAGTATAATCTAAAAAATTTTAAGTTGGATAATTGTAGTAAGTACAATGAATGAAATCAAGCAATATTCACTTAGCAATTTCTTCTGGTTTTTCTGGAAATGCATCCACTGTCGCCAAACGAGTAATTTTATTTTGCTTTTTTAAGCGAGAAGCTGGTGTTTGAAGCTTAAAAAGGGAATAAGAAAGAAATAGAGTATAGATAAATACATTAATTTAGATTCTGTAAAAATTCCTTAATTATTTAAAAATAGGGCTGTAATATGAAATTTAAAGATATAGTTTGCTTCATATTGCTCTCATTGATCAAACAAATAGTTACCTTCCTAAATATAGAACTAGACGGGGATCCAACTTTATTAACTTCAGTAATACTCTTCATTTTATCGCTATAGGCTAGATTAGCCTGAAAGTGTTTAATATACCAATTTATAAATAAGAAACAATTTCAATTTATTAAGCCCTACTTTATATTTCAATTTAGCGCAAATAAACATTTAATCTGCCGTAATTACGTGCTTAGAAGTGCAATAAGATACCGTAAATGCATTTATGATGATATATATGCTTTACCGTTATTCCTAAATGGGTAAAACCATTCTCAAACTTTAAATCTTCAACCAAAGCTTTCAACAAATGTTCTCGTGTTCTTATCTAGCCGTTAAATAGTGCATGGATTCAGGCACAAATGATTGCAGAAGTCAATTTAATTCCTGAATTTATCGTTGTCGATGAGCTTACTGCCATCGTATTGTTGCTTATTTCATGTTTAATATTACCTCCAGTTTTGTAAATACTTCAGCTTTATAAGCTGCATGCTCGGCTGCGATTAATTTTGTTAAAAGAAATTCACGAAATTTTGGCCCCTATTAATGCATAATTGTTAGATCTTTTGCAACATCCTGTACCCTAAATACATTGACTGCGCGTACTAAAAGATCTGGTATATGCTTCACAAATTAAACGAACCTTTTCAAAAACTGCTGGACATGGTAAGTGTGGTTTAAATGCTGGAACATCTTTACGTCCTGCTACCGATACCTTCAAATAATAAAATCAAAATGCAAATTAAGTATAGCACATTCCAATTTCTAACTTATAACTTTATTAAATTAATGCAAGTTCTAAAATAAAAATGTTGTTAGAACTTTAAAAATCAAACAGCTGAAATTGACCTTTCGTCAACAAATATAAATTAGCTATCGTCAAATTGTGTATTACGATACCATATGATCATGTCATTATGCTATAAATGAATTAAAGTAATGGAAAGAGGAGAAATATTGTGTCAACAGCAAGTAATATCCAGTATTAGAAATTATTAGTAATTTAGCTTCATTACCTTATATTTTGTTACTTTCTTATCAACTATAACAGGTTGAACAACAACATAGACATGCAAAAAATGAGAGGCGATGGAATTTGGTGAAAATGGTGTATTTTCTTCCTGTTTTCAAGATAGAAAGATTGAAATTTTAAGTTAGGAAAGCTGTACTTTATGGATTAATAGGATAAATCCAAATCATATTCTTTTACTGAAGGCATATGTAGTATAGTGCTAATAGTTGTATAATTTAGGAACCTATTCATTTATCTAATATTCTTACAATATCGCTAGTATATTGGATTAACTTATAATTGAGTATTCATTTTTAATTATATGTAGCTATGATACCTGTAATTTAAGAAACTAATTTATAAATTTGATCATTAATTTACTTGCAACACAATCGTATAAAATTATTTACTCTATGTCTGCAGTTTAAGATATTTACTTATAAGATCCTTACCTGGAAAACAATAGATACTATATCATTTCCGATATGCCTTTTTCGCTGCAGCTAAGTGATAAAATGTTTAAATTGGGGTTAATTTAAAGATATAGTACTTATAATACGATTAATATTTAGAGAAAGACGCAGTACTTTTATATCAACATTACTTTAGTTTGATTGTAGTACTATATCGTAAAAATGGAGCCTTATACTTGTATAAGATTCTATATTGCTCTTTATGTATAAATTAAGTTTAAATTATGGTATGTGGAATAATGAAATCAAATACCCTAGAAAGAATTCTTACGGAATATACTACAACTTAGCTAATTCATACAATATTATCCATAATTGTAGGATTACTATTAGATAAATAAAGTAAAGAGAGTTTAGCCAGTACCTTTTGCCTATCTTGCTTTTCATAAGGGAGTAAAGTCGAAACATGAAACATGATTTCTTTATCTTTAAAACGCGTATAGTAGGACTCCATTCCAGTGTTATTGTGGTTTACATCAAGGCCGCCAGCAAAGCTGAAAAATAAGTTAGTATTGCCTATGACTGATAGTATAAAATTTCAATTTTGATTTGATACCCTTTAGACAGAAAATATGAAGAATGCATGTACCCCTTGAACCCTTCTAGAGTAACACGATCTGCGATAAGGTTCAAAAATTCTGTTAAGGCCGGAGACTGTTGTTCGTTGCCAAAATATTCTTCTTCTTTAGTCTATAAATTTTAAAGCAATTGTTGGGATTTAAAATCCTTTACTGATATGAGAAATTTCATCTAGATTTATTGATAGTTGTTAGTCTAATTGAAAGAAGATATGTAATGTTATTTGGGCATCTGAGTACTTTAAGTGTTATAGAAATATCCATTTATATGGAAGTTACAATAATAGTTACAAATATACTTAGATTTCCATTAAGAAACATCTGAAGTATTACAGAATATACCTGGCCAAAACGTTGCGTAAAGATTCCAAATTTATAATTATGAATCAAATTGTGCTCCTCATACTTTGTTATTAGATCAGACGACTGTAAGGAAAAGGTAAATTTGTTGATTAAACAAAATTATTAACAAATGGCCACAATCGATATTTTTAAAAATTGTATAAGTGCAAAGAATAGAATCGTCAAGATATTCTAATGTTCAATCCACATCAATAAATACTGAATTTATAACGAAAATCTTGGTTACCCATGGCGAGATGATAACGTCAAAATCAGTATTCGAAATTTCCTCGCATATCATCTATATTATAAATAAAGTTTACAATAAAGTTACCAAAGTAAGCTCCACTCCGCACATATTAAAGTTTTGATATTATAAATTTTAGATCTCAAATCATATATTAAACATTACTTAATGTATGTTATATGCAGCACTGGATGTTATTTTGAATAGTATCGACACTTAATCAAAGGCTATCCTATTCACGCTTTTCAGTCTAGAAATAGCGTTTCGATGCTAAACTTGATGTTGGAAGGTATTAAATAGTACTATGGTGCATAGTGAGTATTTAAAATTCGATTTCGTAATGAATTGCCTTACCTTAGCTACTTCAGAAGGGGAAGGATAAGATACAAACATATTACACGGCAGTAATTGATGAATAAATAAATTTTTCGATCTATATTTGAAAATTAGAAGACATTAATTTTATTAGCAGAAATAGAAATACAAGATTAATGTGGATTAGAAGACTATATTAATTAGTATTATAAACTGAAACCAGTAATAAGGAATTTAAAATAGCTACTAGTGACTTAATACTATGGGCCTACCGTCAGGTTTGCCCTTCTGACTCCTACCTATAGTACGACGCTAAAATACTCTATCGTCAGGAGATTTACAGTAAGCAACTAGTTTCTCTTAGATAAAATTGAACCCAAACTATTTTGAAAAATCCGACAATTTACAGTACTGTTACAATAGCCTCAGTTATCGATAGATAGATGATATTATAAAATTATATATATAACGTTATGGATAGCGATATTATTAATAAATACTAAAAATATGCCACCTTACAAAAATATGATAAGTATCTACCCGCGAAAATCACTTCCTGACAGTTGGATTACTACAAACCGTAATAGCGCGCGAATACATTCACAGTCTTCAATAGTGTCCATCTTTAGAGATAGTAATACGAATCCTAAATTTTTGTCGTCTGTATAATAGTTATGATGTTCCTAGAAATTTTAATATTTATGATTTGAAACAATTTAATATGGTCTAAGTAGAGAAGATATAGATTAAAAATATGGAATCTATAATAATTAAAATTTATGAGAAATCAAATTATATTATTTGAGATATATACCGTATAAATGTTGCATGTAGAGATAGATAAGTGATGCACATAAATCATATGAATATATATCTACTTAATATTTATATAACTCTATTAATATGCTATATCTGCAATGTAGTCGCTAAATCTTCTATTGTAGAACCTTTACATTCAATAAACTAATATTGACGTATTCAAAAATAAAGTTACCTTTCCTTTGTAATGCTTGCGATAGGTTAAGGCTTCTTCGTCACGTTCATGTTTCAAGTATTCTTCGGAAAGCTGTAAATTATGCTCGTCAATATCGTAACCATTGATACCAGAATCGATCCAGTAAGTTGATTCTGTAGTTGGATATATCATAGGATAAGGTGGACCGCCTTGTAGCACCTGAAATAAAGTTATGAATAGTATGAAAAACAACATCAATTAATAATAAATTGAGCAAATAAATGACTATTAGAAATTCTGTTATTAATAGATATATTTTATTATTCTTCTATTATTCGTAATCTTACTTCATCTATAGATGATCTTTTCTCCAGCTAAGAACACAGTCAACCAAATAGAAATATGAAAAAAGTAAGAAAAATAATTACTTTGAGCAATAAAATGAATAGAAAACAATCGAAGAATTTTAAATTTATAAGCCACCCTTTCGCTAAATTTGTATCATTAAGAGTGTATTTGACTTAACTTGATGTCTTAAAACTAAAACTGTAACTCGGTAATGCTCTGAAACTTTATACTATCAATTACAGAGACAAGAATAGCTATGCATGATAAAATGAAACGTATAAGATAGGACGACTTTGTTTTTAATTCAATGAACTTTATAGAGGCTTTTATGGGATAAATTTTCGAAAAGAATTATCTACTAAGGAATTTGGAAAATTATGTACTACGAATGCATTACTTAAGAATGATTATAGTATAATTAAGCAATAAAACTATAGTTATAACTGGTACATCCATGCATTTAAATATTAAAATTTTCGGTGTAAATTTTTCGAAATGAAGTTATATAAAGAATTAAAAAAATAAAATGTACTACAAATCTATCGTTTACGAACCACTGTAACATATTTAGTCAATAAAGGTATATATATAACCTAAAATATTCGTTTATTTAAATGATGATTTTTTTCTGAGCTTCTTTACTAATGGTAATACATAAGAGTTAAGATACTGTATATAGGTAGCAATAAGTAGGCAAGCATCAGGATATTGTAACATGTACTAATTTTTCCTACGCAGCACTGTTACCTTTCGTGTCGTCGTCTTAGCAAATTGACGATGGCTGTGATCGCTCATTTCATTGTTCTAGATAGAAATTAAGAGTCTCATATTTTAGAAGAAAGATATAAATAGGGAAAATTTAAAAGCAGAAATGATCAGAGACAATAATGGATGAAGAAATTAGAACTAAATGCATTTATAAATATACGTCTTAATAGATGTGGAAATTTAATCATGAAATAAAGACCTGCAAACGCTGAATTTGGCTAAAATTACATTATCCATCTATATTTATAGTCCGTTTGGGCATATTTATTAAGTTACTTCGATATTATTTCCTCACATAATAGGATATTTAATATGTATTCGATTGTAATCAATATGATTTAATATAGGTTTCATTTTAGTGATTTGCCGTAACCAAAAATTAAATGCAAGGTAGCGAGAGGAAATAAGTTAAAAGACAATTGGAGAAATCCAAATTAGTAATTATGGTATATCACTGCAATTATCTAACACAGAGTTAGAAATATCTTAAAACAGCGTAAAAGAGGATTCTGTTAAGACAGAATCCTTACAATGATAATATACAAGTATGCTATAGGAGGCTCAAGAAGAAATGATACTAATAAAACCTATAGCACTTCCCAATGCTCTCATTGTAATGAATGATTTCCTGGTATTACGGAAATAATAATTCTGAGTAGCTAAAAATGAAGTGATGGACGTTGTCTAATTATGACTATTAAATTTAATAATATTAGCAAAAGACAAAAGAGTTACTAGCTATAGGAAGGATAATAGGAGAAGAAAGCGATAGATATATAGCTGTGAAAAGATTTCAGTATGAATGGAAATGCATCATGATCGAGCAAAGGGAGATTGCCTTAAAGTAATCTTAAAGTTGAACTTCTAACCTAATCTAGCTGAATTTGTTTATTAGAGTTATTATAGCGTTACCATTTTACTCCTTCAAGTAAGCGAATGTTGATATAATGGGATTATGGATATAAATTTACCCAAACAAAGAGTTATTAGAGTGGTTATAGTAGTCATATCGATAGGAAGATATTTTACGAGCATCCAGTAACACCAAAATGGATGCAAGCATGAAGTAAAGAATACGTCCAAATTCTTCATTAAAATACTAATTACTAAGAAATATACGTAGAATATATATTTTATGATCAAATATACTATCAGAAATTGAAATTAGAGTTTCAATTTTAAGATAAAATTGAAGGATTAAGTTAACTTTTAATGGAAACGATCTTGCAATACATGAAAAAGGCAGCTAAAATTCCGAAATAGTAATATGATTACCTGAAGTTGTTTGACGATATCGATAAACTCGTTGCTAGTACTCTAAAAGTTTAAAAAAATGTCATGAAAATAAATATCCACGTCGATATATCAAATCATAGAATATAATAAACAGGGTGAAGAAACAAACAGAAAAAGCAACCATTAAAATAGCTATAATCTGAGGCAGATACCATGAATAAAATTAATAGCTATTACGATAAGTGTTTCAAGCATAACGTCAATAATTTAATGTCACTCCCTAAGGAATAGATCCGTGAAATACGAATTGAAATTGTAAAGGAAGATAGTAGGGAACCTGATGGTGATTGAGCCAACGACGGATGTAGCCATAAGTACGCGATAAGTTATATAAATTTGCAGGCATGTTATCGATTATCAAGACAAGAGTTTTTTATTTGAACTTATTTAGTGAGCCAGAAGTTGACAGTCAAGGTGACAATAATTTATACATCAATAACTTCAAAAATGAATGTATTACCTAATACCTTCTTCTTTTTATATGCAATTATGGTAGAATGGCGCAATGCTGGTATTTACCGTCGTTAAATATTCTATGCTATTATTCTATCACTATGGTATCGACAAATAGGTTTTACTTTCAACAATTTGGAACAACTGCACCTTTATAAATTGCTTTGGGCTAACAGTCAATCATGATCTAATTCCATTACTTACTTGGGAACGTCCAATAACGGGCATGCTTAAAAGCTTCTTTGATCGTTCAATCTGTTATAGAATAAGAATTCGACATTGAGAGTTAATAAAATTGATTTAATCGGTTAGATAATAAGAGTTCTTCACTTGGCAATTTCATCGTTTATCAGTGATAATTGTCATCAATATTAGCTTGCACGATGAAATTCTTTGAGTATAAAATAATGATCGAACTAAATTAGAAATTAAATTAAAAGAAACTAGGAAGAAAAATAGGAAATTTAATTATCTTTTCAAGGTTGTCTTGATTTTCATATAAACAAAGTACTGTAGTAAAAAACAATCTACTACCATTTACTAGAAAGAGATAAATTGAAATGGGAATAAACTGTGCTGCATCATAATAAAGTTGACTAATAATGTAATCTAGTCCGATTTGAATGTTTAATATATTGTAAGGCTAATAATAGATTGACTCTGTCATATTGGAATGATTTCCTAAAATAAAAATAAAATGGAAATCAAGAAGATACTCTAATTAAGAAACTATATCTTCCAATATCAATGCACTCTTAACTTTATATTTTTGTTTCAGAGTACAACCGAATATAATTTAAATGTAACAATGTTTTACAATATTAAAAGATGATCCATTCTTTTATTTAGAATGACTTTTCTTAATTATATAAGATGGAAATTAAGAAAAGACACTGAGATATTATATATCCTATATCATCGAATTAAGTAACCGAGATAGTACTGTAGGATTAAAAAAGTAAAACGATTTGGCACAAATGGCTATTAAGGGAATAGATCACTAGTAACCCAATAATATGAACAAGGTGACCGCAATACAGGACTTTCCCCTTCTTTTAAGTTATAAGTAGGTTTTGGCTTTTCCTATTAACTCTTTAAGTTTTAAAATAATGCACTAGTTCACTCATAGTAGAGTCGATCTTAGAAACATGATCAATAATTGACAATAACGTTTTGTCAAGCAATTTTTCCATGTGGTATATCTTTAGCATAGTTATGACGATAGTTTAAAGAGTATTTTTAGGACAATAGCGTTCTGGAGTTGTACTTATTGTAATTCTTGAAAAAATATTCTACTTAACAATTGCCTATTCTACTTGGCTACTATAGACGTAATGAGATTGAAAATGAATCATTTATAATGGTCTTGAAGCTTGACAAAAACAAGTCATTGTCCTTTCGGAATTATTAATGATATCCGGATGTTGGAATTGCATTTCATCTTGCTTGGATATTCATACACTAATACTACTGATTCTACGTATTCATTCTTGGTTTTATCATCACTCTTTTCAAGATTAATTATTGCATGTTAAAAGTCAATATCAACGTTAACCTATTTATTATCTTATCCGAGAATGATTCTAGCTATTGCTTAGAGAGAATCTTTTGCCATAAAACAGCATATCAAGTTTTCCATAAGCATGTAAGATTGTTGGATAAGGGTGGTTAATCTGTTAAATTGATGTAACCATGATAAAACTATACTCTACGCGTATAGAATTGTACTATGTCTAAGTTAATTGGTTACTAATATATCCAACTGAATTTGACACTATAGATTATCTTTAATACGCTGCTCTATATTCTAGATATTATAGGTAGACCGATAAATTATTTATATTTTGGAAGATGTTTTTTTAATACCACAGTTTGTACGAAATTATTCTAAATCGTCATATTCTATTTTTGCTGATAATAATCATTGTTAGGTATGGTATTCGTATTAAGGATGGAAAATGATATTGCACATAGATTATTAAAATAGAAAGATTACATCGTACAAAATACCCCCAAAATAGAACGGATTAAAGCTGATTACAGATTAAATTTTGTACTATATTGGATACAGTACTATATACCAAGTGCATGTTATGTCGGTCAATTGCTTCTGATGATATGCTACTAGTAATAAATTCCAAATAATCCTACTACTAGATATACAGAGGGTTAAAAATTCTATTTCTTGCTTTCTCATTCGCTTGCTATGGTGTGTATTAAAATCGAATCTACTTTTTCAATTCATTACTCTACCTTTAAAGTACTGCCTACGCCATCTTTTTGACTTCATCCTTGCTACAATACGATTTTTATAGTCATTTTATGTG